TCTCTTTTTATAGTTCTTAAACAGATTCATAATTTTCTGTAGTTCTTCCAGAAATATGTGGACTTAAAAATTGGGGGGAATTGATAATGATCAGAAAAATATGTGCATCAAATTCTTAAAAAATAAAATCGTATTTAAAACTCTCCTATAGTCCTCAGATCACTTGAGGATGATGTGTTAACTTGATTCCTGTTTTATTCTGTGAAATTTTCCTTATTAATGCTGTTATTAAACCCTATACTATGTATATTATTAAGGAGCTTCCGAATGTCTCCAGTATCAGAGCTCCACTGTCTCTCCTAGATGTGTAGGAAAATACAGCCATAATACCAAAGAACTTAAAAACCTAAAATGGTAATTACAGTTAGACACACACATACTTTCCCTATTTTTAGAGACTTCAGCAATACCTACAACTGATGGTTTAAAGTTAGAGATCCAATTTCAAAGGCCCTACTAAAATAAATCTCATAATTAATTACCATTTTAATTATCTTTTTTTAATTTGTGCAATGGACAACAAATTGTCCTGTAATGTAGCATTTTAGCAGTTTTAAACCCTGTACTGAAAATGATTGAAGACATTGAGACATGAGTAAAGAAGAACATACCGTATCCTGAGATTTTGGTGGATGGTTTACAGCTGCGTTTAGAGAGGTTAGCATGGCTACACTGGGGTTTTCCCCTCACTTATTTCCTAGTAAGTTGTTAGTCCAGCTGCTTAAGAACCAGTGCTGGTATGGTGACAAAATACTAGCAAACATTTTTTATTTCATGTCCTGAATAATGGTGGAGCTTACCTTGTTCTAATTAGTGATGCATGAAAATTCAGATATGTTCACCAGATGTGTTCTTAGACAAGAATTTGAGTGCACAAATTGGTTTTGATAACTTGATATAACATTCTGTAAAATACAGGGATAATCACATTGACTATTAATTTATGCAAAACACTTGGCCATTTGTATGTCCTAAATTTTAGTAAATTGTTTACCTAAAATGATTATTTCCAGTGTAAATTATCACAAAGCATTTAAATGCCACTAATTTTAATGAGAAATAAGCATGCTGGCATAATAGTGAATAAATGAACCAATGACTATGTGACTGAACTAGCTTACTGATTTTCAGTGTGACAATATAGTTTAAAACCTTCTTACTATTTTCAGCATGGAAATCAGAATCTATTCTGCTAACCTTCTGAGCTTCTAAATTTGGTGTCATGCAAGGGCGTGTTTAAAAATTAGCATATAAAAAGAAACCCACTTGCTTTAAGTTTAAGCTGACACTGTTCCTTTCCTCTGTGGAAATGAAATTTATTAATCATAATAAAACCATCATATTCTGAAGGTAGAGGTCACCCTGAGGAGAAAAAAAAGTTTGTTCATCACAGAGGAATTTCAATGCTTTTTTTTTTTTCCCCCAGATATCATTTGAGCGTGTATTCTCTCCCCTTTGGGAATATGTTCTTCTGTGTTTGTGCTTACATATCAGGTGTATTTAGGAGGGAGCAGGAATCAGAATTTTACAATTCAATCTTCTATATTTTATTTTCTTTTACAAAGATTTGGAAGAATGCTTTTTACGTTTTGTTTTATTTTATGTTTACATTACACACATTTGTTCAAGTGGAATTTCAATATTCTGTAAAAGAAAAGGAAGTGTTTCTTATTTTAACAAGAATATAAGCATTGATAATTCTGGAATATTTTAAAGTTAATATCATCATACAAATTTCAGCATTACCATCATATAAATGTAAAACAGTCTATTTAAGGATCAAGGATTAACTCAGCTCACAGTTTTGACATAAGGATTACTTCACAACTTTTTTGTTTTAGGGAAGAAACATGGTTTACAAGTAGGATGAAAAAAGTAATGTAAAGCACTGACAATAAGTTATTACTACTTTGGCAAAAGAATAATAAAAGCGTACTCAGAAGTGTTGAAACAGTCATTTTCTTCTTTCTTTTGAAATTGCTTAATGTGATTGTTTATCCATATTTTCCTCTTAGTTGTCCAGATTTCTGTAAAATATTGATAAAATACCATTAGAAACATGTTTTATTACATTAGTGTTGTAAATTTGCTAGTTACTTCAGTAGCTGGGTTAAATATACTAATAATTTAATAAAGCCTCAGCACTATGTATTTGGGCTTGTCCTTCCTTACAAGTGGCCCTTGCATTTAGGCCACTTAATCCCCTGCCATGGGTGACCCATTAGACTTTCAGTTTTGTGGGGCACTGTGCCATAGCCAAGAATCCTGCAGGAATGGGATGCAGTGTGGAATGAAAATGCAGCCCTGCCGTGGGAAACGGATCAGAGCGGTGGAAACAAAAACCAAAGTCCTGGTGTAGTTAATGGTTTACACTAGACCAAAACAAATGTAATTCTTATTGATATAAATTTACAGTCCTTGCTCAGGGCTGCAGTAATACTAGTTAATCAGAAAAAAAAAAAAAATGAAAATATACTAATTCCCATTGCTTTAAAAATAATAGTCATGACGTTAAAGTGTGTATAATAATGGTACATGCAATTCCCCCTCCATGTTATTAGGGACATGAGGGAAATTCATAGTGCTGCATACGAGTCTAGCTTTAAACTAATCATTTGCCCTTTCCAGATGTTTTCTTACTGATTGAATAAGATTTGGCTTGAGATACTTATAGTTATGTTTAAAATGAATTCTCAGACTTTAAAGTGGGCATACAGAGGGAAATAAAATGTCTTCTTCACTTCAGTGTAGATGAGCGAGACATAAGAGATTCTGTTATGGCTACTATCAAAGCTAAGTATTTTAAGTCTCTAAATATTATAATGTTTGCATCCTAATGTGGAAGGTTACTAAGGCTGAGGTTTATGTAAGTTCTTCTAACCAAACAGGCTCCAGAGTATGGGGTCAGGATCAAACCTCCTTGAAGAACTCTGATGCCCCTTCCCAACTCAAAGGATCACTAAGTGTCATTTAGCCAATATAGGTAGATGTGAACTATTTTTTCCTTCCATTTTTTTTCAGTGGGAACTGCCTGGTTTCTTTGTTCTTAACTGCCTTGGATAATTTTGAAAGATAGGTATTCATTGATACCAAGTATATTTAAATAGAATTGATAAATAAATTTAATTCTTCACTCATTGACATATTGGGTGCAAAAGAGGAACTAATGTGTTTTATGCAAGTCTTTTAAACATATTTTCCTAAGTTTAAGACCATGTCTTAAAGATGACTGCCCAACACGCTGCTTCCCCTGTATATTCATGTATATCTTTGATAGCTATGAGGACTTCTCTGCCCACATCTGAAGTAAACATAGCTGTGGGTTAAGATATAGAGCCCACATTCATGAACTTGTGGTACTTTCATAGCTTTAATAAATTACTCCTTTTTAATGTATTATCCTTTAATAGAAAGTTGAATTTACTAAGACAGTACAACTGAAGGCGTTCAGCTACTATGGTTATACTTTGTAGTGAAACATCCAGATTTTGCCATAGAATACTTTATCAGAACACTGGCACACTACATTTGTCCAAAATGCTGGGGTCTTGCTGGAAAAAAATGGCTTATTCACAATACTGAATATCAACCAATGTACCCTTTGAAGTTTGTACTTACTGAACTTTGTTTTCTATTTTTCTCATGAAGATGTGTGGTTCTATATCCTTGGAAAAGGAAAAGCCTATAACTTCTGCAAATCTGTGACCTCAGGATTGGTCAGTGTGAGAGACACTTAATGTAAAGTCTCTGCCTTTTCAGTGCTGAACCCTTTTGCCTTTAGATAGCACAGTTGTCCCAGGAGGTGGTTTACTGGGATTTCCCTATGCAATTAATCCTTCATGTTCTTGCAAATGTTGGCTCAGTGAAATGGAGAAAAAGATTTGTCTATGGTAATTTCTGCTCCTTCCTTGAAGATGTCACTGGGTAGGTAGGAATGTCTGGTTCAGATAATTTGGACCTCTTCTCTACCTCACATCCAGGACCCACAGTAGTGGGTGGCGGAGGATTGCATATGCCATGGAAACATTCCTTTCTCAGCTTTCCCTCAGCTGATTATCTAGGAATCGCCTAATCAGATTCTGCTTGTGGAGGAACAAATACATGATAATAAAATAGGACAACTGTCCTCTTTTCAAAAAAAGTAAGTTTGTATTTGTATCTGAAAAATTAAGGTAGTTACACAGAATGAGACCAGCCTGGGGTTACTGTTCATATAAGGCTAAAAAGTAATCTTTTTTGGAGAGAAATCAAGAGTATTACTAAAACTTCACTTGTTTACCACGTTAGCCCTCATATGCAAGACATCACTCTAATTTCAAGATTACTTTTGTTGTTATATGTGACACCCAAGGTCAAATAGAAGTTCTTTGATTATGGAAAAAATGTTAGACACATTCAGTGGAACCTGTATCTAGTTGACATGTCCATCTCACTAATGGTAACTGCGTTCAAACTCAGACCGTGAAGCAAAGCTATGCGTTTCAAGGTGAAGAGGAGGACTGGCCCAGCAAATCGACCAGGTGTACAAGTAAAGAAGCCTTGAAGTAATTTCAACTATAAGTATTTTGTATGGCAAGAAATGACAAAAATCTGAGTTTCACATCACTGTCTTTGCCTGGTTGTAGCAGGAATTTGGCCTGAAAATTGAGTCTTCAGGTGTGCAAGTATCATGGCTTAGGGTGACACTCTCTCTCTTCTATAGAAAGACCAGGAATGTGCAATAAGCACGTTCTTTAAAAGCAAATGCCTGCCTTTGTCCTACAGCCACTCTCCTTAGCCTAATGCTGAGTCTTAATAGTCTAGTAAAGCTAATTATACATTTATTGTCACTTGTAACCTTAACATTTCCTAAAGGATATTGCTTTTGAAACTGCAAAGTGAGTTTATTTGTAATGAATTTGGATAGAATGGAATATTTAATTACAACCATTTTGTTAATATTGGTAATACCTGTTTAAACATTTTTTCTCCATTAATCTTCAACTTTATTTTCCTTTCAG